CTAAATACTTGGTATCGCTACAGATACTAGTATCGGTATCGGTGCATCCCTACTACAGACCTATAGTGTATTTAAATATTTTTTTCACATTTAAAAGGAGAAGGGAAGGGTTAAAACCCCTGCCAGGTTTTTTTGTCTGTGGTTTGGATTTTTCACTTAACTTCATTTCCTGTCCAAGAGATGGAACAGGAAGTGAGAACATTCTTCACAAAGTGAGAGAAAGTACCCTTTTCAGACAGTTGTCAAAATTTAGCCCTACCCCTTGTTCTGGTGGCAAATTTTGCATTTGTCATCACTTTCTGTATCAGTGATAATGGTCAGGGCATGTAGGGAGCCCCCTGAGCCCTGTGGCTGCTGCGGGATGTCCTATGTTGGGTCTGGAGCTTCAATGTTTACTCCTGCCGATACACCTGCTCTCCAGTCAACCTCACAATTGTCAGTAACTTCCGGACTGTTACCTTTGTGCATTTACACACCTCTGGTTTCATACATGTGCTTCTTTGTTTTTGCTAGACCTAAACTGTTGTCGTTTGTATTCATTTATCAATTTTTCAATAAAACTCTTATAAAACAAAACATACAGAGAGGGTGCATGTACCTAGTGGTAACACAGCAGCTGAAACCTCATGTGGGGTTCTCATTAGGGATGCACCCTAATGAGCATGCCCCTAGTATCGGTATCGGTGCCAATATGAGTATTTGGGTGAGTACTCGTACGCGCCCAAATGCTCCGATACTGTTCCCGAACGAAGAGGTACCTGGCAGGGTTGCCCACTTTCACCCACACAATTTATTTTGGGGCTCGGACCCTTGCCAGAAGCTATACATATGAACACTGATGTCAAGGGAATAGAGACCCCTGGAGTTGACCATAAGCTCTTTTTGCGCATGATATACTAATGTCTCTTACTTCTCCAGATATTTCCCTCCCCAATCCCCTACCTTGACCAGACGATTCTGAAGCCCTTTCAGGTCTCCATGTAAATCAATATAAATGGAAAGCTATGTAAGTCACTTTATCGCCTCGGACGCTCGCAGCTCTTCAATCTTCTTATCTGTTCCCTTGGATGGACTTTCCCATTTTTTTCAGACAGTTAAATTCTCTCCTCAAATCTTGGTAATGTTTCCCAATATCATGGTTTGGTAGATTCCACGCAGTCAAGATGACATACCTACCTAGGTACTGTATGCTTTTTGTATCCTTCTGATCTCTATGCCAGCTGATATCCTATGAAATCCAACAGCATGAGCTTCTGCAATTTATTTAGGGCACATTTGAGCCTAGATTGAACAAACATATCTTGTTTGCCCCAAAGTTAGCAGGGGGCTTAGCTCAGCTGTACCCAACAATCACCGTATTGCTTCCCAATCCCATCTCCATGCCACTCATGACCTCCCTCTCTGGGCCTCCTTTGATCGAATAGAGTGCCATCTGATACCCATAGCCACTCTTCCTCAGCTTCCTCCTGAACATTTTAAACCCCATCTTGGCTCATATACTGCGTCTTTGGGATTCTGTTAACTCTTAGGAGGGCTCATTATTACATTATCTCCCTTTACTTAGAATTCTTTGTTGTCCACCAGGCATTGACCGTACTGCACAATTTAGGTGGTCGCATTTACATAACTTTTAAGATATTTATTCCTTATTTTCATCAGATAGTGTCATGGCCTTTCAGCAAAGCGCACAACAACATTTTTGTCTCTCCTTCCCCACAACCCCCCACCCCTTCATGCTTACTGCTTTTGAAAGTAAATTTTGGTCTGACAAGCACACTCTCGGTCACCTTCATCTAAACATTGCAAATAAAACATACCAAATTCACTGGGAATCTGAACTCCCCCCCCCCCCCTCCCCACGTTTTTACAGCGTCCGGGGGGCCCAACCC